TTTATATTTTATTTGATATTCTTCACTTATTTTGATATCCGTTCAAAAATAACTTATTTTAAGTACAAGACATTTGAAATCAAATCAAAACGAAAGACAAAGAAGATAAACTCAATAGAAAAATAAAAGAGAGAAAAAATGAATGTGAGAAAAAAAATTGTATTAACTTAATTTAAATACAAGATTAAAAAAATAAGAATATTTTTTTAAAAAAATAAAAATTATGAAATATTTTTTTCAAAAAATTAAGCTATAATTTTTAATTTTATAATTTTTTTAAAAAAATAATTTATAATTAAAAAATTATTTACACACATGGCTAGCGAGTGTGTTCAAACACAACCAACTTGAATGGTTGAAGGTGTCACATCAGCACGAAAGGTGCATACAAATATGAATAAAATGAGTTCAGGAGGGTAATAGGATCTTAGTTAAGTTTAGTTGTGTTTCTGGAATTTTGATCATAAGCTAAGCGGGTACTTATTCATTGTCCCTATATTTAATTTATTCATAAGACAAATATATTGAACAAAATCTATGGAATTCGATCGAAACCCACATGCGAACCAGACATAATTATTCTACCTTCCTATCAAGACTTAATTATTTTCCAATAAAAATATAAATATTTATGTTGCTATAGAGCTGTATGAGTGATAATTGAGCGGGTTATGTCAAATTTGGGAGGGTCATAATGAGTTTAGACGACAATCGGGTCACGATCTAACCTAACCTAAGGTTGATTGGGTCAAAATAGATTGAATAATGAGTTATATAACGGGTCAAACCAATGCAATTCATTTTTACTAAGGTTAGTTATTATATTTTTTCTTGTAAACTATTTTAGTACCTAATAAAATTATTTCTTTTTCATTATGACTATATTTTACATATGAAATTGAAAAAAAAGTCAATTTTTTTTATAAATTTCTCATCAGCCAAGGTGGGTTACATATCAATCCAATTTTTGATAGGTTAAATGGGTTGATGTAATGAATGAGCGGGTCAACAACCCGCCCAAACTTAAGCGAGTTAGATGAATTGAGTTTAATTTTGTCACCCCGGTGTAAAAGGAAATTCTTGAACGATATTACAACCATATGTTCACAAATTTAATTTGTAATATCCAGGGATGGATCCTAGGAATTCACCCGAACCCCCTCGTCAAAAAATTACACTACATATATAATGTCAAATTCTAATTTTAATGGTACATATATTAAAGTGAACCCCTAAAACAAAGTAGAGGCTTGACTCAATGGTTAAATGGTTCAAGATATGACCCTAGGTCGCGAGTTTAAATCTCAAGGGCAACACTTTTTCCCTCTTTTTTGATGTTCTGGAAAATGGAGATTCTGGGCTTAAACCATTTTTTTTTCTTTTCATTATTTTTTCTTTTTATTCCATTTTTTCTTTTTAACTTGTTTTTGTTTAAATTCATTAGGCACATTCTTTTTTCTTTTCTTTTTTATATCTATTGTTAGGTAACTCTTTTTCATATACTAACTTGAGAAAATCTTTTAAATATGATGAATTATATTTAACTTGATATATATATATATATATATATATATATATATATATATATATATATGTATGTATGTATGTATGTATGTATGTATTAGATCTAATTAAACGAAGAAACTTAACATCGTCAATTTCCTTTTAAAAATATTAGTTTATAGAATTCATGAAATTTATTTGGAAAAATGACGTACCCCCCTAACTTATGCCCGAAATCGCAGGGACACACTTATATTATACTAAGATTCTATTATCCCTGAACGTATTTTAAAAATATTTTTTTCGGTCTAGATGACACTATCTTCTGTGCCTAACGTGTATTGATAATTTTTTTCAAGCTATCTGGTTGATAATATTGAAAAGGGGTAAAAATATTTATAAAATAAGTTTGGGGGAGAGGGAGGGAGGGGGGTTAATAGGAGCTTAATATAGTATAAGTGTGTCTTTGTAATTTCTAGCATAGGTGGGGGAAGGGGGGTTACTTATGCATTTTTCCAATTTATTTTATATTTTTATTCTATTTTAGAGGGATGTAAACTAAACTTATTTGATTTATTCGTTATTTGTCTCTTTTACAAATTATGACTAACCTAGTAAATTGAACTATATTAACTAAAATAATTGACAATATGATTTATTTATCTTCTGAATATGTCACGACCCAAACCATCGTGATTGGCGCCCACTCTAACCCTCCGGTGGGAGAAACATTACTACAACTCAAGCAAGCAACTTAACGAAAAACTAGACATTTAAAGATACAAAAGCTGTCTTAAATAACTAAATTATTAATTAAGGAACTAAACAAATGAACTAACACAAATGCGAAAATACAAATCGTAGAACCTGAAAGTCATTGCACCAAAATTCTACCAACGACAAGCCTAAGAACAAGGGGTACAACCTCAAAACTAGCAACACTTTAACAATAGTCTGAGCCCGAAGAGAATGGACTTAAATAAAGAGAACACAACGCAACACCGAAGAATTAGTTCAACCTTGAATTCGAAATAGTCAGTGATCTTCTAAATTAGGTCTGTCAATAGCCGTCGGAAGATGCATTGTACTCAACAAAAATAAGAGCCAGTGCAGTATAAGTACACAACCACCGTCTACTGATAGGATTAGACGACTATCCCACTAAGTGCAACATACATTAGGCAAAGGAACAATATAATCATGTAACATACCGAATATCAACAACATTGATTAACACAATCTTCATAGCATAAGAGAACCATACCGCAATCATTCTTAAAGTCCACTTGTGCAATGCATAAATGGAGTCTCACTCCATCATTCATACTAAGTAGAACTCTTTGAGAAGTCATGTGTTAATAATTCATAAATAATAAATATAATTATCACAAGTAGTTGGTCCTCTCATGAAACCCAATGCAATGGTCCTCTCATAGAACCTAAACTCAAACTGTTAATGCACCAGCGTGGTACCTGATCCAAGTTAGCTTGCCGGAACATGGCAATTCGATCCCATAGTTGTTACCAAACGTGGAAACCCAATCCAATATTTATGAAAGAACGTTGCGATCCTATCCAAGTTAGCTTGCTGGAACGTGGCAATCCGATCCCATCAACACACCACAATCATATATACAAGTACATTCATCAAAATCATACAATAGGAGTTGATTCATGACTTACAATTATCCATTCATACTCATTTACATAGCGTGTGATTAATAATGCAACATTCGCATACATACATGCATTATAATGAAACAATAACAAACATATATCACACCAATATAAAATTGCAATCATCACCTACCTCGAATCCATGCTTGAATCCCCTAAGTCTTTTGAATCTTTCCTTTTCGAATTCTTCCCGCTTGTTCTAGGTCTACAACAATTAATATACGCAAGGATCAATATTCAAAGGTCTAATTATTTGGATTATAACAAACCTAATAACCCTAGACTAACCCAAGATCCTAATTCCCAAATTAAGGTTTTTTCCACCATAATTCTTAAATCAAATCCCTTTCTCATCGATAATAAACCAGGAGAATAGGTTTTCACAAATCGAAAAATGGATTCGGGTGTTAAAACCTTACCTTTAACCTCAAGAATAGTGAAACATTATCAAGAACTCATCAGGGGTCGCCTCCTTATATCTAAAAGTAAAAAAATACCAAATATGTTCGTTTAAGGGTTTATTAGAGACTTTAAGTCGCGTCTGGACCGCTAAAGTGGACCTATCCGGCTTCGGTGGTGCCACTCCAGCGGCCAGAATCTCGCTCCAGCGGCCTCGACGGAGACAGAATGTACAGTTCACGAAAATATCATTTTTGGGAGCTCTACTCGTCCGAATTTGATTCCGTAAGTGGTACGGGTTCCTTATCGTCTTAGCTATACACTCATGTAATAAAATTAACAATTAGATCTATCATTCATTACTATATTTTCCTACACCATAATGCCTCTGATTCATCGAAATTTGGACTAGGTTAGGAAATTTCAAGTCACTGCCAATAAATTTTCTGGCCCCAATTCTTTCTTCATTTACTTTTCTACAACGACAGAATCAGGTTGTTACAAAATATGCATTATAATATTAGTAACTCTATTCTTACACACTTTTAGATAATCTTGATGATTTTTATAGTAATATGTGATCGAATGGATACTAACTTAAAAATTTTAAAAAAGTGAAAACTAAAATAAAACATTACAAAAAAAAAAGTATAAAATACCACAAGAAATTTTAAGATTGCTCGATGGAATATGATAAAAGTAGAAATAAATGTTTAATATGGTATGATAGAGTAAGTTAAAGTTAGCATGATAAGGTAAATATCTTTCTTCCCCGTCTCGCTTCCTTTTTCATCATTTAACTTTCACGGGTTTTATGAATTAATTTATGTAATACAGTCGATCCGCTAAAATTCTTATCAATGTATCTTTGTCCTCGATATCTTTGATTAGTTTAGTCTTTACTTTTATTAACCTATGAAATTTTCTTGTACAAAGAGCATGCGAGGGGGTATTATATACACTCACGGCACACTTGCATTACTACATGAACTTCTTCTTTATATTTTGAATCCGCTGAGCAAAAATCATGGATTCGCAACTGGTAATATCACTAATTGAGTTTTTACATTACTCTATCGAGTGTCATATAATTCTTATCAAGTAGGTGTCGAACTTTATTTACAACATTATTAGTTGTTTTAATGTTGGACTAATTATTTGTCTCAATTTCTGTGAAAATTTAATTGTGTACTAGAATTATAACCAATAGTATTTGATTCAAATATTTTAATCTATAAGAATTTTGCTAATGAAGTTTGTAATTAAGTTCATTTTCTCTCTATAACATTGATGGTCATGCCACAAAGCATATACACAAAGACTAGTTTAATTAAAGCAAAAATTACAACATTATTTTTATTAGAAAGCAAAGCATCATCCACCACTCATTGTTCATCCACCTTTGTATGGTTTTGTTTCTACTAGGAGCAATCAGGATTAGGTTCAATTGGCATAAAGTTAGTGAAGTGACATAGATCAGGAAGTTGTTTAGCTTTTTCATATTTCACAAAGCCAAATGCCTCAAAATATTTGATGCATTCACAAATATCTTTGCGGTCTGATTGTGAGGCAGCAGCCATTTTAGCCACACTTTGCAATCCAACACAACATTCATCAAAAGGTTTTGCATCTCCACTTAGTACAAAAGCTCCACAAGGTCTTACTAAGTGAAAAATATCATTTTCACAACTAATAGCTCCATTTGTTTGGCCTAAAATTAAAGTAAGAGCAAACAAAGTTAGAAGAATTTTTGCCATTTTCTTTTTTCAATTCTTGGTGATAGTAACTATTGTAGAAACTCTATTTATAGAGTTGAGTATTCAAGTATTTTTGAATTTAACATTAATATGAAGTCATATATTTACTTGATTTGTTTGACTAGATGGAATGGAGTAATTAAAGTAATCTTGACTTTTCAATTTTATTTTTTATTTAACACTAATATAAAGCTCTATATTTACTTGATTTATTTTACTAGAGAGGATGTAGTAATTAAAGTACTCTTGACTATTCAATTACTTTAAATTTAACATTAATATGAATTCATGTATCTGTTTGAATAGAAAGAATGTAGTAATTAAAGTAAAGTTGATTATTCAATTATTTCGAATTTATTAACATTAATATGAAGCAATATATTCACTTGGTTTGTTTGACTAGAGAAAGTATAGTAATTAAAGTAATCTTGACTATTCAATTATTTTGAATTTAACATTAACATGAAGCCATATATTCACTTGGTTTGATTGACTAAAGAAGATTTATTTTACTAGAGAGAATGTAGTAATTAAAGAACTCTTGACTATTCAATTACTTTAAATTTAATATTAATATGAAGCCATATATTCACTTGGTTTGATTGACTAAAGAAAAATGCAGTAATTAAAGTAATGTTAACTATTCATTTATTTTGAATTTAATACTAATATGAAGCCAATTATTCACTTGATTTGTTTGAATAGAGAGAATGTAGTAATTAAAGTAATCTTGACCATAGAATTATTTTTAATTTAACATTAAAGTAAGTACTTACTTTATGTATACTGAGTTTTTTTTTTAATGAATTCAATAAATATAATTTATGATTAAATAAGATGTAATGATTTTGAGTTTATCTTTTATATGAATTCAATATATATGATAAATAAGATGTAATGGCTTTGATGTATTTATTGTACTTTATGCATAATAAATTTAATTTTTTAATTGTAAATTCAATAAATATGATTGATAAAATAGTAAGGTATGATGATTTTGATGTAATTAAAATAAATCTTCATTGACTCTCGAAACACTCTTTAAATTAATAACTATTAATTTATCAATTAAATAATACCTCTACAAACTAATAGTATTTCATAATCCCACCTAGGGGTGTACAAAATCGAATCGAGAATTGAACCAAACCGCGAATCGAGTTAAATATAAAAAAAATTGACTAGTGACTTGGTTTGACTTGTTTTGGTGTTAGAAAAAAAAAGTTTGACTATATTTGGGTTCGTTTGGTTTCAAGTATATTTTCAAAAATAAAGTCAAATTCCAACATAAAAAAATTGCAATTTAATATTTTTAAAAAGTGTAAAAAAGAAGAAGTAAGCATCAGAGATATTCTCAAAATTTTAATTTTCTTGAAAATCAATAATTGAATATTATTAATCTGAATCTTTTTAAATATGAGCACCAAAAAGGATATATTTTCTAAATAATTAAAGAAAAGATGATTTAATCTATATCTATTATATATAAAAGGAGAGGGAAAAAAAGTAGGAACACTTAATGTGTGTGTCAGCAATACAAAAATAGTCTTTTAAATTAATTTAAATTGTAATTAGTTTGAATAATTTATCTTTATATAATAAATAAATAACACGTTTTATCACCATAGAATTTGTGAATTTTAATTTTACGTAAGTTATTTTCCATTTAAATTTAAAAATGTTTAAACAATCTATAAATTTTAAATAACATGTTTTATCACCATAAAATTAGTGAATTTTAATTTTATGTTAGTTATTTTCCATTTAAATTTAAAAATGTTTAAACAATCTATAAATTTTTCAAAAGTAATTTTCTTTTCAATTACAAATAATTGTTTTCTATAACAATAATAGTAAAATAATACCAAAATTTACTGTTAGAAAAATTGTTGTTTTGAAAATAAATTAATCTTCATCTTAGAAAAGAAAAAAAAGCATCAAACTAAATAATCGACATCACTTCTAAAAAAATTGTCAAAGTATCCAAGTATTATTTATTATTTGTTTTTATTTTCTTAAATTATCGTAGTTAAAAAAAATATGTTGAGAACATGGAAGTGTACAGTACGGTTATAACTAACTTTAGGATTAGTTAGTTTGTTAATTAACAAGATTAGTTAGTCAAGATTAGTTAGTTAGTTAGTTAGATTCCTTTATTAAGTCAATTAATTGTATCAGAGCCATTAATGGCAGTTATAGTTTCCTAGATTGTTAAATTCTCCTCATATGTAATTTCTCAATTCTGTGAGTTCATCGTTAATGGAGACTAGACGTGAATCATCAACTGGTGCAACTGGATCAGAAAATGTTCAAATTCCGAGATCAACTTTTGATTCTTTTGATCCTTTATTTTTGCAGAATTCAGATATTCCAGGAGTAAATCTAGCTCATTGTATTCTTACTGGGATGGAGAATTATACTCTCTGGAGTAAATCGATGCGAATTGCTTTGTTGGGAAAGAACAAAATTGGTTTCGTAGATGGCACCTGCAGGAAGGACATGTATGCAGCACAGATGGCTCATCAATGGGAGAGGGCAAATGCAGTTGTACTCTCATGGATAATGAGTTCAGTTTCAAAGGATCTGGTTAATGGCATTGTGTATTCATCTAATGCGCACAAAGTCTGGGTAGATCTTAAGGATCGATTTATAAGGTAAATGCTACTAAAATCTATCATATTTCCAGAGGTATATCAACATTAGTTCAAGGTTCTTCTACAATTTCAGTGTACTTTTCGAGATTGAGTGCACTTTGGGAGGAATATGAGTCTTTAGTTCCTCCTCCTTCTTGTTCATGCGATAAATCTCGTAAATATATTCAAAATCTGGAACAGCAAAAGCTAATGCAATTTTTCGGAGGTTTAAATGAGAATTACAGTCAGTCAAGGAGCCAAATTTTAATGATGCCGTCTATTCCATCAGTAAACCAAGCCTATTCATTGATTATCCATGAAGAGAGTCAAAGAGATCATCTTAATATAACTGCAAAAGTTACCAGTACACATTATGAAGATGGTGAATCTTCTGCTATTGCAGAAACTGCTATAATGCGACATGATTCAAATAAGAAAGGGAAAGGAATCATGGCTTCTCGATATGAAATTGATGAATCATTAGGATCAACAAATATGAATGAAGGCTATAGAAACAACATTAACATGAGACCAAGGAGAAATGCTCATCTCCACTGTGATTTCTGTCATTTGAAGGGCCATATAAGAGAGAAGTGTTACAAATTGATTGGATATCCTCCAAATTTCAAATTTACCAGAAATAGAGAAAGAGATCAGAATGGTTTTAGAGGAGGAAATTATAATGGTTCAGGATATAGTTAAGGGCAGAATGGCTATAGATCTGAGGGTTATGGAACACATAAGTCAAACATGGTTTCTTCTGATTTTGACCAGTCACAAACTGGGAGAATTATGAATCATAAGGATCAAGGATTTACAGCTGAACAATTTCAGAAACTACTTAATCTCATTGACAAGCAGGAAACTCCTGAGAATGTAGCAAATATGTCAGGTACAATTAACTGTTTTTTAGCCGGTATTAAGACTAACTTCTGGATTGTTGATACAGGGGCATCAAACCATATGGTTTCTAATCTGGATCTAATGTCATCTAGTCAAGCTCTTCCTCTTTCTGAACATAACCAAGTATTTCTTCCAAATGGAAACATAACTCAAATCTATCATAAAGGCATATGTACTCTAGACAAAGATCAAACTCTTCAAGATGTCCTTCATATACCAATGTTTAAATACAACCTACTTTCAGTGTCCAAACTTACTAAAGATTTGCAATGTTTTGCAACATTCTATCCTGATTTTTTCCTTTTCCAGGATCTTTACACTGGCAAGGTGAAGGGGATTGGTAAGGTCAAGGATGTTCTCTACATTCTATCCACAAAATCACCAACACCTGCCACTTCACATACTTGTTTTTCAACATAGTCTGCAAATGTTAAAAGCTCCATTTGGCATCAAAGACTTGGGCATGAACCTATTCCTATCCTCAATCAGATAAATATTATTCAAACTACATTGGATATATCTCAAATTTGTAATTGTCATATTTGCCCTTTAGCCAGGCAAACTAGAAAACCTTTTCCTACTCATATTGATGTCTTGCTCATGTTTTTCAATTGGTGCATATGGATGTATGGGGTCCTTTTAAACAAGAGACTTATAATGGCAATAAATACTTTCTTACTCTTGTGGATGATTTCTGTCGAATGACTTGGGTGTTTTTATTGAAATTCAAAAGTGATTGCTTACTTCATTTGAAAAACTTTATTCTCCTTGTTAAGAACCAATTTGATATTACCATTAAGATCATTCGATCTGATAATGGTTTAGAATTCATTAACACTCAATGCACTGCTTTGTTCAACTTTCTTGGTATTGTTCACCAAAGAACTTGTGTATATACTCCACAACAAAATGGGGTAACTGAGCGAAAACATAGACATCTTCTTGAGGTTGCTAGGGCATTAGATTTCAAGGTCACATCCCCCTTAAATTTTGGGGTGATTGTATACTTACAGCTACTTATATTATCAATTGACTTCCTTTTACAGTACTGCATGGTATTTCACCCTATGAAAAACTACATAAAACAACTCCTAGTTTAGCACATATGAGGACATTAGGTTGTCTTTGTTATGCTACTGAACCAAATCCATACAACAAATTTACCCCTAGAGCAATCCCTGCTATCTTTATGGGATACTCCTCCACACAAAAGGGATACAGATTATACAATCTTCAATCACATCTATTTTTTGTTAGTAGAGAAGTTCATTTTAGAGAACATATTTTTCCTTTCCAACAATCATCTATCATTTCACTTATTATTCAATCTACAAATCAGTTCCCTCCTTATCTTTTTGATTCTGATTCTTCAAACTTTTTACCTGAGAATTCTTCTACTATTTCTGTTTCTCCTTCTCCTGTTTCCATACCTTCAGTTACACATCCTCCTATCATATCTCCTAC